GTTCCCTGCTGCCAGGGTGATGGTGCGGCAGGCTGGGCGGATTGTGGAATACGACAGCCCCGAGGAGCTGCTCAAGAAGCAGGGCGTCTTCTCCGCGATGGCAAAGGACGCCGGCATCACAAATACAGAAATCACTGCGCTGTAGGTGGAGCGCGGCAGCGGGCGAGCGCGTGCATGGGCAGCTCCCTCCCGCTGGCACTCACCAAGCAGGCACCGGCATCTCCCGGCAGCTGAACGGCCCAGGAATTTGTCTCTGCAGCTGGGAAGCGAAGGGAGGGGGGGGGCTTCTCTGGCTGTCAGCGACAGAGGACCTGGACTTGAGTGCGCTGTTAACCTCGCTACCACACCCTGCCTGCTGTGCACACGAGGGTCTGGAGCTGCATAATTTATTCCAGTACAGAGCAGAAAATTTATCTGCCAGGCAGGGAGACCGTGGCCCCCTTGGGGGGTCTTAGTTTTTGTACTTCACCATGCCGGGGGAACCTAGCTGGGAAATGCTTTAGCACTATTGAATGAAATTTATTGTTTAATCTGAGTGAATGTTATAATTTTTTACTTTTTGTAACTGTTTCTAGTCTTCCACTAAAAACCTAACTTTAAGCCATGCTAAATAAGCTTTAAACCTGGCTGGTGTTTGGGGGAAGCTGGTGATGCACATTACGCAGACACGCACACGGGCGAGGAGCCCAAATCGAGTGACACAGCTACACCCAGGCACGAACACTACCCCGGCAGGGGAGGTGGAGGAGCCAGGGCCTGCCTGCCTTCCCCAGGGCTACAGCTCCCTTTGAGCGCAGTGCAAACGAACGAGGCAGTCCCTGGGGATATCGTAACAACTAGCTGGGCAGAATCTGGGCCGTGGCTCCAGATGACAAACTCGACCATGGTGGAGATACGCTGGAGAGGTGCAAGCACACACGCATGCTACACTGACATGCACGCATGCAAAATACGGTAGTTACCGTTGCCAACCTCTTGACCCTTCTTTGTTCTTGGGCATGACAGGCAGGAGGTGCAGCGCTGACCTCGGCTGCTGGCACGCAGGGAGCCTGTGCCCCTGTGCACGCTGCTTCCCCCCTTACAAACCCCTTCACCCTGGCCACAAGACCCCCGCAGCCCCAGCCGTGCCATATAACACCGGGCAGGGGAGAGGCAGTGTAATCACTCCATCTTGATGAAGAACGTTCCTGTGAGGGTTTCCTAGTGCCTCAGCTGCAGCTGGCACAAACACCAAAGCAGAAGCTTGCTGGACCCTGGTGAAAGGTCAATGTTCTTCCTGGCCCAGCATGGCCTGCACAAAGTCCGTGGGCTTTGCCCCTCACCCAGCCCAGCATGGCCAGGCACTTCTCCCAGCTGCCCCGACACTGGCACAGGCACCTCCTATACACAAGGGCAAATCTTTATTTACAGAGCAGCAGTACAGGAGAATACAAACATCACCCCAAGAGAAGGGAGCTTCCCTCCTTCAGGGCACAGCAGCAGCAGGTAAGACACACCACCCTGGCAAAGGGCACCACAGCCCTCCCAGAACATCGGCACCACATCCAGCACCCTGCAGCCAAGCACAGGTGAGACAATCCTGGTCAGAGCCCGCAAAAAAACAGGCTGGAGGGCAGCCTATGCTTTGCCTTCCACCCCGCCTCAGCTCACAGTAGCCAGGTGCAAAGACAGGTCTGGGGCACTGGAGATACTGCACTAACAAGAAAAGGTGGTGTTCTGGACCTCTGGCTCACCTGGAAGATGAGAACCCAATCGCTGCTGCTAGCAGCAAAGCTTGAAGAGACCCAAGCCCTTGGGAGACCAAGCATGGGGATGAAGGGGCCGTCAGAGGCCGGGCCCACCCCAACCCTGGAGCTCCTTTCCCAGGCAGGGTGTAGACATCGCACCCTGAGGTCCAGCACAGACAGGTGAGACCAGGCTCCTGCTGCTGCTGAGAAGGCACAGGGACCACCTTCCCAGGGCCTGGGTTGCTTTCAACACTACTTGGCTAAAGGCCTACTCCAGAAACTCAGCACTAGCCTTCCGCAATTCAAACCCAGCGCAGCTCCTTAGCCTTGGTCGAGCCTTACCCTCCTGGGCCACGGCCCCAGGCTTTGCTCCCCTCCTCCCAGCTGGACACAGGCGGCTCAAACAGCCCAGGTGAACTGCCCCCTGCCCTCACACAAGCTGCCTGCTCCTGCCTGCCCTGCCAGCCCACCCTTCCTCCTCCCTCCCCAGAAGGGGAGGTGGCAGCCAGCGTTGTGGGGCCCCAGAGCACTGCACGGCCTCACGTGTACTCCGTCTTCCGGATGTAACTGGAGGGCACGTAGCCCTGCTTCCCGTGCGCCTCCGCCAGCCACCACTCCCGATTGCCTGTGATGTCCTCAAACTGCAGGATCCTCAGTCTCTGGTTAGCTGACACGCTCAGCTCGTTGGTGTTCCGGCCTTTGAAGGTGTAGAGAGCATAATAGACCTGCTAGACAGAGGGAGAGCGTCAGCTGGACGGTCAAACCCCACAGCCTTGCTGCCGCATGGCGCAGGATGCGTGGGCTTTTTGCTCCTCTCCCCAAACCGTGACAGCCGCAGCCTGGGCTCTGCCAGAGATGCCCCAACCTCCCCCACCCCCCCCGACAGCCTAGTTCTCTGCCTGTGCACCTCTGCCACTGGGAAGAAAGGTCTCATTCTCCACCTCAGGCCCCTGGGACCAAACAGCCTCCACCTCCCACCTCTCCCTGGTCACTGCCAGGGAGGCGGACGGCTCACCTGGTTGCCCTCCGACTCGCTGCTCTCCAGCCCAGAGTCTCTGTCCTCCACTGAGGGTGTGGGCCTGAGATGTGCTTTGCCAGGGTGCCCACTGCGAGAGCTGGGGCTGCAGCCCAGCTCGGGGCGGCTGTAGCAGCGCAGAGACGTCACTGTAGCAGCCTCCAGGGCAGCTGTCCTGTCACCAGAACTGAGCTGGGGCACAGAGGGGGAGTCCGTCTCCGAGGGGGGCTGTGGGGACCGGTACGGGTCTGCTAGGGAGGCCGAGTCCTGCAGGGGTTTCTGAGTGAAGGTGACGGCCGCCCCGCTGGGGCTGAAGGTCAGTGTGGTGTTGCTCTGGGGAGAGGAGCTGCTGTGCTCTGACTCGTTGGAAGAGTGGCTGCCCACTGAGACGTCCGACTGGCTGCAGCGTGGGTTGTACGGCTTCAAGAAGGAGCTGTACACAAAGCCCTTTGTCACTGCAGAGAGGGAGAGGAATGGAGCTCAGATCAGGGCACAGGGGGACCAAAGAAGAGGACTCACAGCAAGCACCAAGGGCAGGGAGCAGCCACCTACTTCCATTGTCTATGAGCCAGCGATTCTGGCTGCCCATGGGGTCCTTCTTCTTGATAACACCCACGATGTCTCCTTCCAGCAGTGAGACATCCAGGTCCTGGGCAGCATTGAAGTTGCGGTCTGCTTGGAAGAGACTGGCTGGGGGATAGCGGGCCAGGAGGGCAGCTCGGATGTCATCTGACTGCAGGAGGTAGCTAGGCTGAGAGGAACAAGGCCGGCATGAGTGGCTGTCCTGGGCTCTGCAAGCCCTGACACAGGGCAGAGGGAACTCACCAAGCCCACGAGGGGCTGCCGTCGGGCAGACTGCCGCTCCACACTCTTCCTTTCAAAAGGCTTCTTGGGAGCTGCCTGGGACTCTGGGAAGAAGGTGAAGGCCTGGAGCTGCTGGAGGACTCGACTATGCTCATCCTGGAAGATGGCAATGAGGTTCCCCTCCCTGCCAGACACCTTCAGCAACTGGAACCAGAGCAGGATTGGAGGTCATGGTTAGGTGACAGCTGCTGGGAAAAGTAGCCAAGAGCTACAGCAGAGACCACGCCAGCTCCTGGGCCAAGCTGGGCTCTGAATCCTGCCTGTGACCTGCATCGGACCCAGACCTGCAGTCCCGTCTGGACCCAGCTCTCTGTGGTCCCCAGACTCTTGACCTGAGATTGTCCCATGCAAAACCTCTCCTGCCATTGCTCCAGGAGCAGCCAGAGCCTTCACAATCTCTACGTACAATTGCATCGCGACGCCGCAATCCCTGACCTGCCGGCATCCCACAGGAGCCCTCCCCAAGGCACTCAGGGCCTGACACTGCAGCAGCAGCTTCCCCGGCAACAGGACGGGTCCCAGAGAGGCTCAGGGACTAGCCCTGCGCAGACACCAGCGCTGCATGGAGCCCAGAGCGCTGGCTGTGCTCCGGGAACCCACCGACAGCAGGGGTCTCAGCTCCTCCAGGGCCAGACGCACAAAGTCGCAGTGCGCCTCAGCGTAGCCCCGCACGCAGCTGGCAAACAGTTCCTTGGCAAAGCGCAGGAACTGGGGCAGCTCGTCCAGCAGCTGGGCATTGAGGGCCTCGTAGTTGTTGCGGGCTGACTGCAGCTCCTCCAGCGTTCGCTTGTCCTTCAGCTTCTCCGCTCGCTCCGTGCAGTTGTGGAAGTCGAGGAGCTTGTCGAAGCGTTTCTGCACCAGCTTGTGTGGTCCCGCAAACATGCTCAGCAGCTGGTTCAAGGGTGAGCTCACCAGCCGCTCCGTCCGCTCTTTCTGGTGGGCAGAGATGCAGAGAGCAGGTGAGACGAGGTGCTTCGTCCCGCCGTGCGGTGAACGCCAGCAGCTCACTCTCCAGCACACAACCTCCCCAGGACAGCATAGGGTCTGTCTTCCTGGTGGCACCCAACACAGCTCTAGCGGCCCCTTCCAACACTATGGGAAGTACCTGAACCACTCACACAGAGGGCTGTAGCATTTCAGGTAGGGCTGAAAAAATGTGTTAGAACCTGTCAGAACAGGCACACTCAGTACACACCAACCCACAGCCATCAAAGCTCACAGGAGGGTAGAGCCAAACAGGGGTGCTCACACTTCTCCCAGCCCATGTTACCCTCCCTGCAGCCTGCTAGGGTCTGCCCCCAGCACGCAAGAGCACAGCCTCACTCACGAAGCTGGAGAAGAGCTGGTCGCTGATGAGCCGATTCACTTTCTGGAACTGGTCCAGGTCCCCACTGCCCTTCTCCGTGCACAGGTCCCACATGCTCACTGCTGCCAGCGCCTTCATGCAAGCCGACTCCTGCACCACGGACACGCAGTCAGCGCAGCCACGCTTGCTGCCCAGGAGAAGAGGCCTGCCAGGGCAGCCCAGACCCTCAGAGACCACCCCAAAGGGCAGGAGCACTGGCCAGAGGCATTGCAGGTACACACCATGTAGGCAGAAGGGCCGGTGCATGGCGAGCCCCAAGGGCTAGGCACTACACCCAGACTGACTCACCCGAACATGCTGCAGGTAGAGGGAAAGGTCCCGGATGAAGGACTTGATCAGCCGCTCCTGCATCCGGAAAATTTTCTCTGTCTCTTCAAAGGCTTCATCCTTCAGCTGTGAGAGAAAATGTCTCAAGGAAGGCAATGCAGGACTCCAGCACCTCCCAGAGTCCAAGACGTGGGGCCTCCTGCCCACAAACTGGACAACAGAGATGGGTGGTTCAGACCCTAAACTCATTCTGCCTTGCTGGCCTGGACCAGAGCTACTCATCGGGGAAGGGGTGATGGGGGACAGCAGATACCACCGCAGCAGCACCATAGGGTGTAAGTGCACCCGGCAGCTGAAGGCATGTTACCTGGGGTGCAAAGCCTGTGAGATGCTTGAGGTGGCTGCTCACACGGTTGGATTTCTTAATGATAGAGTGGAAGTTGAGCTTGGAGATCTTCTCCATGAGGCTATCCTCATCGCTTTTCCGGTACTTTAGCACTAAAGATTGATGTAGAAATCAGAACCTTTGTCAGCATAATGCCTGTGTCTTACAGTGCCTCATCAACAACTACCTTGCTGGCTCTCCCCATCCCTAAGCCTCTGCAGTCCCCCACACTCCACATTCCGTACTATACCCACACATCACCTGGAAATACAGCACTGTGCCACCTGTAATCTCCTGTTTGGCTCTTGATATGCCCTACAATTTGTAGGCCCGCCATTCAACTCTTCCACAGAATTATGCATACCATTAGCATAAGATGGCACACGAGATGGTGTACAATAATCACTAGAGATACAGAAGGTATTTATATTCCTTCTTTAGCACATATGAGCAATCATTACAGGCAGCCTTTATCATCTCAGCTTCAGTGGATCTATGCAGAAAGAGTATGAGTCAGGGGCTTCCAAGAGAAAACAGCGGGTGGGTGGTAGGTCAAAGGGACTGATTTTCTCCCTTGGTTCAGCCCCAGGGAGGCTGCACTTGGATACAGTGTCCAGTTTTGGTGCCCCCAGGTCAAGACAGATATGGGAGAACCACAGCTCCTGACCCACAGAGAGACCTCAGGCCCCACAAGCAGAGCTGGGGGAGCCAGGCAGGCTCAGCCTGGCTGGGAGGAGGCGGAGGGGGATCTGCTCACAGCTGGCAGCTACCTGAAGGGCAGCTACAAAGGTGATGGAGCCAAACTCCTCTGAGCTGTGCCAGGTGATACAATGCGGGGTAGCGGCCACAGATGGCAGCTTCGGAGTTTCAGGGCCATCGCTTCACCTCGAAGGCGGCCCCCCCCTGCCACAGGACAGCAGAGAGGCTGTGAAATCTCCGTCCTGGGGGGTCAGTGAGAATTGGCTGGAGGGAGCGGTGGCTGATCAGAGCCAATGTTGGGGACAATCCTGCTCTGAGCAGAAGGCTGGGCAGGAGGCCTCGGAGGACTCTTGCAGCCAGCACCTCTGTGATTCTGTCCTGTCTACATACACCTTCAAACTTAAGTCTCCAAATCTCAGTAAGACAGAGACTGCCCTAGCAGATTAATTCCTTGTGTTGTTTAAAATTGCATTTTTTAACTTTAATTATATATTGTCTTATCATTATTTTTGTTTTAATTTAATAGCCATGTGGTCAGCAACTGCATACATTTCTCAACTTTGTATCACTGGAAACAGTGAAAGTCAGATGTGTACTGCATCACTTTAAGTATTGTATCTCATACCCAAATTTTTAAAATGAAGTTGTGCTACTGCCCTCCTGTGAGGGCACAGACTTTGGGAGCAGATTCCCTCCACAACTGTGGTTGCCAGCCAAGCCTCAGGAGCCGACAGACGCCAACCTCAACCCCCCCCCCCCCGTCTCTCTCTCCCCAGCACTACCCAGCTACTCACCCAGGTCCTTCCGGCGCTTGTATTCGTTGATGTTGACGTTGATTTCTTTGACTGCAAGGACAGCAGCTGTGAGCGGTGCCTTGTCAGGGTGAGCCTCGGGGGTGGCATTCAGCAGCTCCATCAGCAGCAGTGGGTACCGCATCACTCTTTGCACTGGCTTGATGAGGAAGGAGCCCAGGTTAATGTAGTTCGTGCAGCCCCTGGGAAGTTGGGACAAAGGAGATGCACCAGGTTTCAGTCCAGCTCTGCCATGCAAATTCTGCCCCCTCAAACCAACCCCAACCAGACCCAGAACACCAAGCCTCTAAATCCACTGTATTCCCTAAGTCACACCACCCTCATCTCCAAACTCACTGCACTCATGAAACACCAGTGGTCTCAAATCAACCCCAGACCTCACTCACACCAGGTGAGGATTCTGTCCCACCACCCCACTGCAGGACAGACTAACTGTGCTCAGGACCGCAGCCAATGCAGGGCTCTCCTGGCTCCTTGGGGCTGATGGCTCCCAAAACCTGTTTCCTGCCCAAGACCTCCCCTTGCCTCATCACCTGCCTGTGCTGCCTGCCTGTGTAGCCCATCCACTGCCTCTGCTGTATCGCGCCACAGACACCCTGCTCCTCCCAGACATGACTCCACGAGGCACTGTTAGGGACCCCAACATGCACCCAGCCGGTGGCAGGAGGTTAGTTACAAGGGGGCAGCCAGGCCAGGACAGACAGACAAGTGGGGACTAACAGGAAGGATGCACTTACCACTCACTGTACAGGCTCCTGCCGGCCCACAGAGTGCCAAAAAGCAAAGAAAAGCAACGGGTTAAAGGGGCGGCGGGCGTGCGATCCCACAGCCAGCGCCTTCGCCCCCTCCCCCCGCGATGCTGCCCCGGCAGCGGGCAGCCCCGTCTCTTTTTGGCCGGCAGCCAGCGCTGCTGGCTCCTGGGGCATGAACCTCCACAGGCTGGGGCCCTGGCAGTCACAGAGCCAGCTGAAGCAGCTCCATTTTCGCAAACCATGGTGGGGCAGGGCTTGGGGAATAGGAGCCCTCAATCCAGGACATGCCACCTTCTCTGTACCTTGGTGGCTTCTGCTCAGGGTTCAAGGGGGTCTACAGGTGTTCCAGCACCTGCGCACTGGGGCAGGGGGCCATCTGAACCTGAAGCCTGGTCAACTATGCAGTGACACAACCAGCCCCTTTCCAGTCACCACCTGAACTGTCCAAGCACTGCTGCCAGAGGGGCAGGGATGTTGGAGACGGACCCCCTACCCTAGCCTGGTGGCTACCACAGCCAGAGGCTCCAACCTGAGGCTATCCAACAGGTCCAGAAGTAGTTTCTGCATCTTCTCATCCTTCTCATAGGTTTCCAGCAGCGCAATGGCCTCATCATGGTTCTGGCAATACACTCTGTAGATGCTCTCCAGCTCTGCACGCTGTGCCAGGAACACTGGTCCTGCAGACAGCAGCAAAGCAGGACTTCAGTGTCTCCTGGTACCCAGCTGCCTTCAACAACCCTGGCATGCCTCACGGTGAGACGCCCAGTGGCCCCCTTCCTCACACACAGCTCGAGAGGACAGTATTACTAGAGCAATGAGGATGCCTCCTCATCACCCTCAGCATGACCACACATCCCTCCTGTTTCCCTGTCGCTGTCCCAGGGGGACAGAAATGGGAAGCTGTGCATCAGAGGTCTACCAGAGCAAGGAGGCCCCTGGCTGAAGCTAAGGGCATGCCATGATAACTCACTAGGATGTGCTCACCTGCACTTTGAGGGGACTATTTACCTAGCTGACAAGCCCCCAGGGGAAACCCAGGACCCACTAGCCCAGACACCTCAATTGATCCAGCTCTCCCAGAGGTGAGGAGCGGGGACACTGGTCAGTGGCAGTGTGGGTGGGGAGCCACACGAAGAGCAAAGGCACAGGCTGCCCAAGGCCTGAATAGCAAAAGCTGGCAAGGCAGGAGTGGGGCTCTCTTTGGGCCGAGGGGCCAGGGAGGGACACAAGCACCATGCTTCTCAGCAGAGCGATCCATGGGGCAACACAGATATTCTTGGCTTCGCTGCAGGACTGATGAGCAGCAACAGGAACCAGTGAGGAGGAAGCTCAACCCCAGTGACACTCTCCTGACATTCAAACTATTTTGTTCTGTCCTGCCACTAGCAAAGCCCATCCCAGCCTTCTGAGAAAAGGTAACAGCAGAAATCATACCGATCACATCTGAAGCCTCCAAGGTGGACAGCAGCTGCTTGGAGAAGCTAATGACCATGTGGATGTTTCCAAAAAGACCCTCAAAGTCTATGTTCTGCATCTGGGGAATGGGAAGAGAGATGTCCTGGATGGGGGAATATGTCCCAGACAGACCCAACACCCCTTCTCTCCTCCTGCAACCCATCAACCCTCAGCTCCACAGCAGCCACCCAGTACAACTTACTCCCATCACAGTGACTTCTGTATTCCCTTCCTCATCCCCCAGTGCACTGAAACTCTCACTCCTTATGTGTCCTACAAAACACAGTGTCCTCCTCTTTCCCAGCAATTTCATCCCTGCCTCTGTTTACCTGATATTCTTCCTCTCCTCCCACCAACTCTGTCCCCATGCCAAGACCCCATATGTTCTTTCTCCTGCCAATGAATTTAACCTACAAACCAAATGCAGAGGAACAATTCCTGCCCCAGGAAATGAATCTGTGATACTTGCTATCAGGTCTCTTGCTCTCAGCAATGGTGAGAGCTCAGCAGGATCCCAAAACAGATGGGCTATTGCTATGAGTGCAGGAAGCAGCAAGATACATCCTGCTCCCCTCAACATCGCTGTATTTCCCCTGTGGGTTCCCGTGTTGCTGCTTGGAAGTCTCCAAGAACAAAGTGGACTCAGTATCCTCACTCCATCCCACCAGTGACACACTCCAGGTTGCCCTCTGGCTCCCACCTGTGCCTGCTGCAGGGGCACCATGATCCTCTCCACACACATGTCCAAGTCTCTGATGTAGTCCCGCTCTGTCTGGAGCAGTTCCTCAACAACCTTGGACCGCTTCTCCAGCATCCTTTGCTCCGGGCTCTCAGTGGCAGCTGAGGACGTCTCCAGGGACGGTGTCTGAGAGGACAGGAGAGTCATCTCTGCAAGACAGACAAGCAATATCAGCATCCTCTGGCAAGCCCGCGAGGACAGGAGACGAATTCAGGCGAACCGTGCCACACGCAGCCTGCGAGACTGTCAAATACGACCGTTAGAGAGGAAGGCTGTGCAGCCCAGGAGCTCTCCAGGGGCCACCCCGGCTCTCCCCGGCCCGGGGCAGGAGCAAGCCCTGCTCTGCTCCCACA